GTACTTGAGATATTGATGGAAAAATTGAAAACTGACTAATTATGCAAATCAGGTTATTAATATGCCCATATTTGCGTGTAAAACTAATAAAGTCATCACAATGTCATATACCTTAAATGTGCCAAGTTTCATTGGAATGTGATTAGAACCAAAAAATTATAAATTAATAATATGCACAGATTTTAACCAAAACTAATCAGGTCTGTGCTTGTCCTAGACCATCTATGTATATAAAGTTTCATTGACATGTGATCATTAGTACTTGAGATATCAGTGGAAATTAACTAATTGTGCAAATTAGGAGGTTAATATGCACAAATATTTATCCCAAAATAATCTTGCCTCTGCATAGTCCAAATTTTATCAAAATCCAATGGGTGACTCTTTAGATATCAGTGAAACATTCATGGAACAGCTAAAAATTAACTAATTATCATGCAAATTAGGTAATTAATATGCATGGTTTCTACCAAAACCTAATCAAATCCGCGCATTTGCCCAGAGCATCTATGCATTAAGTTTCATCAAAAATCATGTGTTTAGTGCAATATCAGTGGAACAGACAGACAGACAGACACAGACACACACACACACACACACACACACACAGACTAACTGTAATAACTCACATTGTGTGCTTCCCAAACGAGAGTCAAAAATGAATGTAAACAAAACACACAGATATGTCAGGCTTTCTACCTTCAATGTTCTCAGAAAAACAGCCAGTTTGGAAGTGTCTAATCGAGTTGCCCAGATCCACAGGTCACTGGTACTTGTCAATAAACAAAGCAACACACACAAGTCTAACAGTTGACGTAATTGAAGCACGCCCTCATACATCGCATTTCAGATAAAACTCTGTGAAAGAAATCCCAATGGCTACCAACAACCATAAGATTTCAGGGTTATGAACACTGGTAGGCTAATTATTGGTATGAGACCTACATACATAAATACACATGCACTAAATGCAAAGATTCCAGAGCTTTGCACACAGGAGTCAAAAGTCTTCTAAAGCTAGCACGTACAGTACTAATTGTGAATATGTGCAATACCTTTGTAGAGATTTCAGTATATAATGATGATTGTTGAGTAAAAAGATATACTTTAGATAATTATCAGCATATGTCTTCGCTTTCTGGTCCAAATTGAGCCCAAGACCACCTAGAACTTTGGCTATAAAAAACAAAAGACAGCAAAAAATATTAAAAAAATAGATTAAATTGTTATATTCCATGAATTGAGAGCTGAATGCAAAATGCTGTAACTACAGAAAAAAATCACACAAGTTATAATTTGCATCTTGCTGTCGGCACACTTCCCAATCATCGAAGACCCCCATAGCTACATTTGTGTATATGAATAATCTGTATGTACTGTGAATAGTTTATAGTGTGTCTTAAGTAATACTCTGAGATCATGTATATAACTATAATTATTATGATATTCGAAAAGTACCAAGCTCCAGCTGATTGGTTTATAAACTGACTTCATAAAGATTTGAAAATAGTTACCGTACTCATCCAACTTAGCACCCTGGGTACTTAGCTCAGTTTCCTAGGTGGTGAGTGCTAATCCAAATACCACACTCAAAAAACTGTTCATTCACTATGCGCCAAATAGAGAAACATTGCATCTTTTAGGGAAAATAAAATTACTTGGGGCCCTTAGTCAAACATGGGCACCAAGACAAATGGTGTTATTTAGCACAAAATTAAAGGTTGACCCTTAGTAATCATACTTACTAACATACATAGCAACTCTTTTTTTATTGGTTTCCCCATGACCTAAAAGGCAACATGAACGTAGAAGATAAGTTGCAGAAAGCTAAGCATTATGGGACATTATCGTGTATGGGTAATTGCTTTATTGGCTTGCCCTTCTCCATGGCATAAAGCATCAATATGAACATACAAGTATTATGATAAAACAATGTGATGAAAATAAGATCTATTGGAAACAAACATTTTGAAATAGCAGGATATAAATGAGACAACCTATAAAAGAAGATCACATCTATGTGAGGCTTTCACAATAAAAAAGGATGAAAACATAAAGGAAAAATAATACTAAAAACAAATAGATTTTATTTTAAGCTGATTGATAATGAAACTGACATATCTCTTTACAATTCACAATAATAATAATAGACGTACATGTATACGCATAATTAACCAGAAATTACACACAATCATGTTTTATAAAAAAAGTATCAAGTGGTATTATTGTATGATCAGAATGGTGGTCATTTTGTCAATTTGAGGTTACCATGGCAATACTAGTTGTTAAAATTAGGCATGGTGATATAAAGTATGGAGGTAGAATCAATCTCTGAATATAATAAATAAATAAATAAATGTAATGTTTTCACAATGAGTTCAAGTTGGTACTCACAATATTTTATATTACTAGTGGTCCAATGGATAGTTCAATGAAAAGAGGCGAAATGAATAGCTCCACATCACTAATAAGATAATTAATACTGTGATGCAATTTTACATATTTCATAGAAAGTGAGAATAGACAACATTATTTAACAATTGTTTGTACAATCACCATCAACTTGACACGTTTTAACTCAACTTGGCATCTTAAAGACACGTTATAAAAAAACATTTAAACTGAAACATATCACTGGGATGAACTAACCTTTACCAGCAGCCAACATGGCACCAGCTGTTTCTACGTAATCAAGTAGATTCTCTAGAAATATGAGAGCCTATGGGTGAGAAAATGTAACAATAACAAGTTAGAGAACCATCGTTGTGATACTGTAAAGGGGGTAATTATTCACTGGGTTTTAATTTAGCTTATTTCGCTGACTGGAAAAATGCGCTAAATTAAAACACAGTGAATATGTAAAATTTAGCATATGTTATGATATTCTATTTTTGCTGTAAAATGAATGTATTTTGATAATGCCCAGTTAGCTAGTGAGGCTTGCCCAGCTGCGGAATTAGAATAGACAGCATGTATTGTCATTGCTAATTAATATTCTTTTGTTCGTGCTTGTGCAAGACGAACGTGAACACGAGTTAATCAAGTTGTCACCCAGCTCCCGACCAGTGCAGTGCAGCTCAGCTCAGCTCCGGTGCAGTGT